AGATGGGGTTTCGGCATGATGGCCAGGCTGGTCTTGAACTCCTGACCTCAGGTGATCCACCCACCTTGGCCTCCCAAAGTGCCAGGATTACAGGCGTGAGCCACCGCGCCCAGCCAATGTTCTCTATTTCTTGACCTCGTGATCCGCCCCCCTAGGCCTCCCAAAGTGCTGAAATTACAGGCGTGAGCCACCGCGCCGGCCTTCCCTGACTGTTAAAAGCGTTCGGAGGCTGGTCCGTCCCCGGTGTTTCACCACAGGGCCAAGTGGACAGCTCCTATCGCCGAGTTTTCCTGCTTCAGACCCCTAGAGACGCGCCGCGCCGCGTAAAGTTCTCACCCGCGAGATGGGTCCAAGTCTCTCCGGTCCCCCAAGCCTCGCCCTCTTTTCACAGGCCAGCCCCCTTTTCTGTGCCTTAAATCAGAGGAAATCTATCTGATGTTTATTACTGATTGTGATGTTTCAATCTCCATTGGACTTTTGCTAATACCTAAATATTTGGTTGACAAAATTATGTTTAGTGCAAAAGTAAGGACAAAACCGCGATCACTTTTGCACCAACCTAATATTTATGGGCCAGGGGGAGTAGCATGGTCCTGGAATCCCATCTTCTCCGGAGGCTCAGGCTGGAGAATTCTTTGAGCACAGCAGTTTGAGACCACTCTGGGCAACATAGTGAAACTCCCATCTCAATTTTCAAAACAGTATGGGTGTTTAATAGAGATTGGAATTCAAGTTTCTATGTTTTTACATGGTCTAACTTTTTAAAATGGTTTAATATGCAGTAATGTTTATAAAGTGAATTGAGCACAATTTATACATTTTTATTGCAAACATACTGAAATGTATATTATTAAAAATAACAATGAAATCCAGGCACAGTGGTGCATGCACACCTATCATTCTAGTTACTCAGAGAGGGTATCATTTGAGGCCAGGAGTTCAAGGCTGTAGTGTGCAATGAATAAGCCACTACACTGCAACCTGGACATATAAAAAACAGAAAGACAAATACAATTTAAAAAAGAAGTCACTGAGAGACAACTCTTTCAGGTGTCATGTATATGTTTACTAGAGTATATGTGTGCGTGTATATATATGTATAAGTGTGTATGTGTGTGCATGAGTGCACAGATGAGTGAGTCTATGGCTTTAATCAAAGGCACATCATAAGTTTATATACATTTTATATTTTTAATTGTTGAAATTATATATTTTCATGATTTTAAAATTGTTCTACACTGTTGTAATGAGTTGATGACTGTAAGAATAGTAACCTATTATGGGGACACCTGTGCGAGTTTCTTGATTTTAATCCTGGAAATTGTTTTAACTTTACTCAAATAGGTCATTGTCTGGCAATTTACTTCTGATGCTGATTTGTTACTTCATTGTTTGATCTTTTTTTGTCTTTTTTTTTTTTGAGAAGGAGTCTTGCTCTGTCACCCAGGCTGGAGGGCAGTAGCACCATCTCAGGTCATTGCAACCTCAGCCTTGGGTTCAAGCGCTTCTCCTGCCTCAGCCTCCCGGGTAGCTGGGATTACAGATGCCCACCACGATGCCTGGCTAGTTTTTGTATTTTTGGTAGAGATGGGATTTTTACCATGTTGACCACACTGGTCTTGAACTCCTGACCTCAAATAATCCACCTGCCTCAGCCTCCCAAAGTGCTGGGATTACAGGTGTGAGTCACCGTACCTGGCCTAATTCTTAAAGTTTGATTCTAATGCTCAAAACACCTGGGATCTGGTGCCTACTCTGCCATTTAGCCTTCACACCTGGGGCAAGTTTCTTAGCCTGTCTGTGAAAGAGTTGTCTCCTCAGTAGAATGGGAACAGATTTTCTTTCATGGGCTTTTGTTGTTATAGCAGTTAGTACATGTAAAACATTTAGAATAGGGCCTGTTACATGGGAAGTATTCAAAAGTTTCATCCTGGCTGGACTCAGTGGCTCATGCCTGTAATCCCAGCACTTTGGGAGGCTTAGGCAGACTGATCACGTGAGGCCAGGAGTTTAAGACCAGCCTGGCCAACATGGTGAAACCCTGTCTCTATTAAAAACACAAAACTTTGCTGAGTGTGGCGATGTGCGCACCTATAATCCCAACTACTCCTAGAGGTTGAGTCAGGAGAATCATTTTAACCCGGGAGGCGGAGGTCACAGTGAGTCTAGACTGCAGTCCTGCACTCCACCTGTTCGAGCAAGACTCTATCTCAAAAAAAAAAAACAGCAACAAAACAAAAGCTTCAGCCATTGC